TAAAAAAGGTAATTTTAAGGATATCATAGGCAATTTCATGGACAGCCAAGATCAGTAAAACAGTTGTATCTTACACATCTGGAAACCAGGGCGTCACAAATTAAGAGTGCTCCCTTTATCTCTCAGTTTTCCTCAACTCTCTCATCACAGCTTGTTTCTAATTATCCGTCTTGTACAGGAACCAAATGACTATCAATCCTCTCCTGCATTTCCATTGACAACAATCTCATTATCTTTCATTGATCTTCTACTGGCAACAATCTCATTGTCTTTTGCTTAGAAGAAGGGCTTTGTTTACTCCAGCACATCTGTATAAGAAGCTTGACAATGCCTGTGATTGGCCAGAAAGCAGCCAGTGGGGGAAGCTGCCAGCGGGCTGCCTATGCTCATGGAAAGTGCCTATTCTTGGCCTAAGTGACATTTTTCTGAGAATCTGAATGATCCAGATGATTCTACTCATTCTCCATGGCTGTGGATCTATAGAACATGAAAAAGAAACAGTTCTGATCCACAGATAAGAGCTTAGAGTAGTAAATGTTGTAAGCCTTTATCGAAAAATGATTATAAAATGGAGGAAATTGTCTCATTAATTAAACCAAAGTAGATTTTTACCTCAATTTTGTCTTTCCAATAATGATCTAATAATTCACAAACTGTACTAAAAATGTATTTATCTCCTGATATTGTAAACTGTTAAATCCACTAAATCTAAATAAAATGTTATAACCCAACAGAAAATATATAACCTTATGGATTTTTCTGACAGTAACAAGAAATATTCTACAATTGCCATCCCAGTGATCCAGATTCTACTATTGCCATTTCAGTAGGAGAATCACAACATTTTTTGTGTTTTTCCACAAAATGGTAACTTAGAAGTTCCACCTTTAATAGTTTAAAAAGCTTTCATAGATGAAAGAACATAATGAATTAGTAAATGCTTTCATTTAATTATACTAAACAGTATAACATTTTGTCCAGAGTTGGCACTACTCCTAGGATGCTGTCATTTATCCAGTCATGTAATGTCCATTTCACATGAATTCAAATTGGGAACATAATAAATAGAAACTTTTACCAGAAGCCAAAGTTTCCAGTGGTCTTGATGCTATATTATTTCTTGGAAAGTTAAACAAGACCCCATAACTACTAAGAAATGAGAATGTTGATCCTGATCAAAAGATGAGGCTTTATTCTCAACATGTAACAGACAAAAAATGAGAAATGAGTCATACAGTAAAGGAAATTCCAAGTCAGAGACTATTCCTGTACTTTCAATACATCTATACAATGTAGCACATATATAAAAAATGAGGGAATAGGAACTATTAATGTGGAAAAGCATCAGAGGAACTTAAAAGAAAGGAAAATATGACATATAGTGGGATGAAACACAATGTATTTTAATGCAGTGGCTTATAAAAGCCACTAGGCATTTATGAATTACTTTTCACAATTACAAAGGGAAGTCATCTTTTAGTTCCATACATTTTCTGATATTTTCATCATCTGGACTATTTCAATGTCGGCAATAAAACTTAGATGCCATTCTTCATATTTCACAGAGAAAAGAATTACAAGGCCAAATAAGAGCTTAGTTTTAAAATAATAATTCCTGTAATGTTTCTACTCTTATTTGACAGCTGTTTCCAAAATCACTGTTAAGATATTCTACAATCTATAAAAAATGTGATAAAATAGCAACTTTAACTTAGGTAACAGCCATTTAAACTCCTAAAGCATGGCTTTTATATGTACATGAATTAGCCAAGAATAACAATGTTCTTCACTTTGCATTGAAATTCTATTTTAACCTAGCAGTAAATATTTTAGCAAAACAGATTCTTCATCCTCTTATAAACTGAAATATTCCATAATTTTGTGTTTGATGCTTATTCTTTCACCTATATTTATGCATTATTTAAACTGAGTCACCACTGGTACTCTATGATATGAGAATATAGAGCATTCTCTCATTTTGTAATGAGCAATTACTAAATTCCTATTTTATTCTTTCCTGAAACTGGTATATTTTCTACCCTTTTAATCAGTCTATCTTTGTTCTTCTCATGTCAATTCTTCTTCTCCTCTCAGAACTATTAACCATAGTATTTCCCTAATACCTCCACCGAGGGAGCCATACCTCCTATTTTTTTTAATATGAGAGCTTGATTATTTCATAATTAGGTCATCTCCCAAGTCAGTGTCAGATAATCTGCATGAGGTAGTTTCTCAGTAGAAACTCTGGCTTACATATGTAAATATAACACTATTGATCAATGACCTAAAAATTAAAATAATAACTAACATGTTTGAAGCAATTACTATTTGTTTTAAAACCCTGAAAAAGACTTCATTTGCATGTTATCTTTTAATACTCAACACAACTTTCAAATAAATGTTACTTTTATTTTTAATAGATTTTGGTTTTTAATAAACAAACAAGAAATGAGAGATTTATTTATTCATCTGAGCTTATAGATCAGATAAATAACAAAGGTGGGACTGGATCTGAGGCAGGATGAGTCCAGAGGCCATCCTATGAAGGACACGATCACTTACAATCTGTCCTTAGATGTAGGAGAAAAGGTCCAGGTGTAACTTCGAACTTGCTGATGTTTAAGCTTGTTATCTTCAGATATCAGATATCTGAAGTACTTCAGAATCATTCCATATTAAAATGGAAAAACTCTAAAAACACACTCTCTCTCTTAAAGAAAAAAAATCTCAGTACAAGTGACCTTATAACAAGCTTTCCAGACTGAAGAAAGCAAGTTTTTCATCGGTCAGTACCAGACCAGAGTATATCGTTAGTAGGAGAAATGTAGGTTGTTAGACATACTGAAAAATTTCAGGCAAAGCAAAAAGCTTCAAATCTTTAGGAACTTCAAGACAGAGAGGAGAGACTTTAACTAATTATGCTCCTAACAAACTGTATACAAACATTGGCACATGATGCAACAAGATATATATCTAGTTCCACCCTTTCTGTTTTTAAACAAGTCATTTATTTAACTTTTATCAGAGGCATCAAATAATATTAATAAAAATACAAAAACTATAGAGTGGGGAATAATCTGTGCTTTAATCAATAAGCAATGACTCCTTAGTGAAGGTAGCAGTTAAAATGTAAAATTCATTAGTTTTGGAATAAAATAGAAAGAATCTCTCTTTTGGACATTGGTAGGTAGTATTTAGTTAATCATAAACCAAAAAATAGATATATTCTAAATGGAATTTTGATCTATTGTGCCCCATTTTTACTGTGTTTTAGAACTCAGTATTCCATCTTTCCTGCTTCCATTGAAGGACATCTTGGACGCTTAACAGTTAACAGACCTCTCCCATGGCAGCACAGAGGTTGTGTAGCAGTAAGTTCTACCTACAATTAAAAATAGTAGAAATGAAACCATGTTCACCATGTTATCCTCTTATTACTACATGATTCTTGTGAGGGAGTAAAAGGTCATTAGTGAGTTGACAAATGTGTGATCTTCAGAGAGTTCCTAGTTATTGGAGTGTGGGCAAGGCACTCAGTGGATCAGTTTGCTTTCTCCACAATGAGGCAATTGGACTGCCCGACCCCTAACATGCCACATTAAGCTTGCATCTGTGCTGTGTTAAGAAGTATGCAAAACATGTTTCCAGTTAAAAACATGAATAAAAAAACAAAAAATGGACATGGAATGATGTCAAAAGGTGATTCATTATAAGAAAAGTTTCATTGAAAGAAAGTAACTGACACAAATGATAAATATCATATTGACCAGGACCAAAGAGGATGGGGAAAACACGTGGCAGGAACAAAAGTAATCAAATGATGTAGAAGTTGGTTCACCTCTCTCTAGAGTTGTTCACACCGCATGTGCCTCCAAGGGTTACTTGAGTATCAACTGAAACAAAAGCCCTTTTCTGGCTGTGTTCAATCTAGAGTTTGAAAAAAATCGTACCCTGTTCTATTGAACTAAATTGTTAAACTGAAATTAGCTCAAGGTTCTAAAGACATGGTTGGTTTATTTATAGACACTAGCAAAGGAAGTTCTGCTGCAGACCGTCAAAGCCACGGTGTTTAAGAATGTCCATGCACAATATTTAAAAATATTAACACATTAAGATACCACGTGCTCTAATTCCTTTCTTGTCATTTCCATTCTCATGAACGCACTTCCCATTCTAACTGAAAGCAATTTAAAAAATCTATTTATTAAAAATGCAGTAGCCAAGAGAAGCCAAAATTACATTACCTAGAAAAAGCTAGTAAGCTATAAGAAATTTAATTCTATTTAGCAAACTAAAAGAATTTCATCAACATATATTTTTTGTTGCATTTCTACCACAAACATCAGTAATATTAATACTCCTTTTTTTAAAATTTCTAATCTAAACACTTTTTCTAATGTACTTTGCAAATGCATTTGAAATCCTTAAAAAAGAGCTGACTATAACTTTCTTAATGTCCAATTGAGAAAGTAAATGTATTTATTTATTCAACCAAATTGACTATTTTCCTTGGTAGAGCCCACTGAGCGGGGAGGCAGTGGTAGGATTCTATGCAAACTAAGCAGCCCGCCGAGTAGCAGGTCCCCGTTCGTCCATCCTAGCAGTTTCCCGGGTCGCTTTTGTTAGGCCAGGCCGGTTTCGCTATGTTTGCAGAACTGGAAAACAGGCACAATGCTGAAAATCCCCTTCCAGAGTGACTGCAGAAACTACAGGACCCTGTCTCAGTGCTCTGGAAAGTTCCAGACCCTCAGATGTTGCGGGCTCTGGGGCTGCCCGCCCGGCGGGCCAGAACTTGGGGCGCGCTCCGAGCTCGTCCGGTCCAAACTCCCCTGCAGAGAAGTGGGGACCCAGCCGTCGGGGCTGCCGGGCGGCGGGATCACAGGGCAACGCCGCGAGCCTCGGGGGCCCCTGCGCAGTATGTGTAACGATGCCCCCTAGTCTCCACTAAGCCCTAACGCCGTCCCGCGGGCTCCCCATCCAGCCCCGAACGCGCGACCCACCTGGGGGCGCCGGGCCGCAGGGGGGCTGGGCGGCCGTGCCAGCCCCTCTGCCGGGCGCCGCGGGCAGCATGGTGGCCGCTGCAGCCGAGGGCCTGTGCTCTCGGGCCGGAGATTCTCCGCGAGCTCTTCTCTCTGTCCTCGCCTCTTCTCCCCCGAACCCGCCAGCCACCCAGGGCAGCTGTGGCCAAGGTCTCAGGAAACTCAGCCCCTGGGCTCCGGCCGCAAGACCAGCGCTTGGCTTTGCTGGGCGCTCGGAGGAAGTGAAACTACTCTGGGGCTTGCTCTTGCATCCTTTTTCAAAAAGCGGGTCTTGGTTTCTCACACACTCGTCCCTGTTTCCTTCTCATCTTTTCGCCCAGGGTATCTTTAGGACCATGTTACTACTTGCGACAGTGTCTCTTCTTGTTCATTCCAGGTCTAGGATACTGTCCCCACTCCAGGCAGACATAAGGATGCCTGAAGTTGACATTTGCAGGAAAGAGGGAATAGCTTATCTCTATAGATAATAGGTAGAGAGAAGTCAAGATGTACATAGGATTGTAATTTTTTAAATTTAAACCAGACTTTCTAGGCTAGGTTTACAAATTGAAAAGTGATTTTTAAATTACATGTAAAATGTACTTGCTAATTCTGCTGCAACTCAAAAGTGGTCCCAATAAAAAATTAGTTCATACATCGTATTAGTCTTCCCAAACTGGAGCTCCTTATAAGTTTTAAACACTTAGGTATGCCCAAAGGAATGTCCCAGAGCCTTAAAAGATATTCCTTTTCTCAAGGATCTCTAAACTGGTAATTTAACTTTTGAAGTTGAAAATATTTTTGCAGATCAATTTGAAGATTTGGTAGCCATGCATGGTTTAAGTAGCCCTCTTCCCTTTCTTATAAAAGAAACCTAAAGGGAGGCTTGCTTAGCCACTGTTTCTCCTCACACGGTCTTTTTATGGAATGCTATAAATATCAAGTATCAAAGACAATGTTAACTTTTCTTACATAACTGAACTTGTTATTAGAACTTTATAATGTAATGTAGAAAATGGAGAAGTATGTGAGATGTCAGAAAGATTTGAAAGCTATGATAGGTATATTTATCTGCTTTCCAATAGTTCTTTTAACATCATTATTGATTTCAACTTGGTTTCCTGAATTTGAAATGATGGAGCAAAACATCTTATTTGATTTATGAAAAAGTTGTCATATTGACAGGTATATTGTCTTTTATAGATGCCTGTGTCGCAGAGGAGTTCTGAAATTGGTGACTGTTACAGCAGGTGTGATGTTCAATCCTCTATATGCCTGTTTACCAAGACACATCAATATATTACAGATAAAAAGAGAGTCCAGATTATAGGGTCTAGATAAACTCTTGGGCACTATTTTCAGAAATTTAATTCTTAGGAAACTGTAAGTCTTCTTGACCAAATTTATTAGGGAAATAATGTGCTAACTGATGAATTTCACAGTTTGTGTGAGTATGAATGTGTATTCCTGACAGGAGCTACCTTTTACCAACATACACACTCCAGCTTACACTCTCCAATTACATGTCCAAATCTTCAAAGGAACCATCTGTGCATACGAAAACTAGTTAATAAAAGTAGTCTTCAAATTGTAAATTACATCTTCACAGATACTGAACGGCCTTTCCATAGGAAGAAGCCTGGGCCAGAAGTCGGAAGGCTGCAGTTCTCACTGTGACTCTGCACCTTGCTCTCAAGGTGACTGGAACCATTCTTTTTTTTTTTTTTTTTTTTAGCTCACACTTATAAGTGAGAGGAACAATTCTGACCATTTCTGAGCCTTGCATATCTCATCTAAATGAGTAAATTGAAATAATTATATTCAAGCCTCTGCCAGCTATATATAACACTGTCTCCTCCAATACATGTGGAAAATCAGATTTACAGTACATAGGGACTGAAGTACATCTTCAGATGCTTATCCCCACTATGTCAATATGGTCCCAGGAAATGGAAAAATAAAAGAAAAAAATGTGCTTAAAATTATGCGCTGATTTCTGAAAGGTATTTGTTAAGATTTTGTGTTGGAAAAACTTAAAAATCTTCCACTAAAGTTTAAAAATTATTCTGCCCTTATTTTGTATTGCAGGTACTGAATAGGAACCTGCAATACAAATAATTCTTGTTCAAAAGTTGTAAGCTAGTGTATAGCCCACTGGCTGACTGACTTACAAACACTTATTCTTTTGTTTTACTGTTTGAAGTTAAATTGACTACTCCCCCTTTTTAAGAAAAGTATTTTATATGCTAGGCAGTATACAAGAGGTTCACAATATTCAGGTAATTTTGTTCTCAAAACAATGTGGCTTTAACTAGATTTTATAAAAGAGAAATCTAGGTTTTTTTGTTTGTCTTGTTTATTTTGTGACAGAATCTCACTGTGTCACCCTGGGTCGAGTGTCATGGCATTAGCTTAGCTCACAGCAACCTCAAACTCTTGGGCTCAAGCCGTCCTCTTGCCTTAGTCCCCCAGGTAGCTGAGACTACAGGTGCCCGCCACAAGGCCTGGCTAATTTTTCCTATTTTTAGTAGAGATGGGGGTCTCACTCTTGCTCTGGCTGGTACCAAACTCTTGAGCTCAGGCAATCTACTCGCCACCACCTCACAGAGTGCTAGGATTATAGGCCTGAGCCACTGTACTAGCTGAAGCCTCAGCTTTACAAGTTTCAAGTGACAGAGCTGGAATTCAGGCCTAGATCTGACTCCATGGCCTCCCCTTTTAATTAAAATCTCCTCCTCCCTTTTAAGTCTATTACACTTAAGGCTATTACAAAGATTAATCAGATCTAATAGGCTAGGTTATACATATGTATATAGAGACACTGAAAATTTGTTTTTGCTTTCCTACCCACTTTCCCACAAAGCCATAATCCCATAGAACTAAACACCAACATCTTTAAAAACAGGTGTGAACTGCATTTATAATTCATTACAATTTTGGTGCTCTTTGGCTGAGGATACGTAGACATTGACATGCATACATACACACAGATGTGGTGACCTAAGTCCTACATATATTCAAACTTTACCAATGCACTTATGAAAATATATTTTAGAAAAGTTTTTACTCATTTTGACCTTATGTCTGTGTCAAGCACATCTCTATTATAGTCAAGTTCACTTTTCCCCTGCGTTTCCCCTAAGGAGAGGACACCATCTGAAATGTTGGGTTATCTGTTGGTTTGCATTTGTTCTCAGGGAAGAAGCACTTAGTAATTCTCACACTGTGAAGCTTTTTCAGTCAGAATGCCACCAGCAGTGTGTAATAGCAGGTTTCTGATTTTACCTCTGTTACAGAATAACAAAAATATGCTAGCCACAGTCAGTTTCTTGTTTCTCAATGTATCAAACGCTTGGATCCATTGACTTCTTCCCTTGCATTCTCTTTTCTAGCAGAATATTGACAGTCTCAATATTATTACCCCACTCTGTGGATACTGTAAGAGCCTCATGCTGACTCTGTGTTCCAGTAAATGGACAGAGAAAGTGGTTTGCTGTTGTCCTGTTGCCGTTGCCATGGCTGACGCCTTGTGCCCTTGCAGACTGGATGCTGTTGCTCATGCTATTGGCTTTATTTCTGCTTTTGGATTCTGGATGTGTTTAAAGAACAAAACTGGTTCTTTCCTAAAGCAACAACCTATCCTAAAAGTGAAAGGGTTTACTATTGCATGACTATTAATTGGAGAATTTTCCTCCTGGGAGACATGTCTGGAGTTTTAGACACTGAATAATACTATTCTCCTTGGGTATATTGTATTTCTTATTTGCTAGCTCAGAACTAAACCAAATACCAGGAAAGTTTGAAGGAATTTCCTAGCAATAATACTGCTTTCTTTGTCATTACCAGGAAGCTTTCTTCATTTTTTATCTCCCTCTCCCACATTTAACTGAATTCTTCACTCCTAATCAACCCCAAAATGATCACATCCTAATCTCCAGAACCTGTGGATATATTACTGTACATTGAAAGTAGAATTAAGTTAAAGATCTCAAGATGGAAAAGATATACTGGATTATCCAGAGAGTCCAATGTAATCACAAATGGTACTTATAAGAAGGAGGCAGAAAAGTCAGAGAGATATGATAAGAAGGCCAGAGATTGGAGTAATGTGCTTTGAATATGGAGAGGCCACAATCCAAGGAAAACAGGTGGCCTCTAGAAGCTGGAAAAGATGAGTGAACGGATTCTCCTGCAGAGCGTCCAGGAGGAACCATTCCTGTTGACACCTTGACTTTTAGCCCAGTGGGGCTGACTTTGGATTTCTGATCTCCAGACTTCTAAGATAATAAATTTGTGTTACTAAGTTACTAAGTTGTGATAATTTGTGGTAGTAGAAATATGAAACTAACACATCAGTTTATGGTGATAAGTTGAGTATTTGGAAAGATTAAAATAATGAAAATTGCTTTACATTCTTCTAAGAAAATATGCATTAAAGAATATTTAATTCGCTTTACCTTTAACTTCCTAAGTCCCTATGGAGCAATATGTTCTTGTTAATTAATGACTATGATAGCTGTTCGGTATTCCTTCCTGCATGCTTTGTGCTCTAGTGATTGAGTAGATGTGCTGAATCTTCTGGATTACATTGAGTCTGATTTGTAGAAGTAACCACATTTTCTACTTATACTGAAGCACACACCACTGTTCCCACCCTTCCAGCTACACCCCCGCTTGTGCTGAGAAGTAAAAATGAGTTTACTGAAAGGAATCTTGCTCAGTAGATCTGGGTTTTTAACAGTCAATATTGTAAAAAATTTGAAGGTTACAGCTAAAGTTCTCCAACTCTCCTTTTGAGTTTTTTGAGTCTCTTTATGAACCATGGTGTAGCTTTTATGCATTTTCACCTTATAATTATTGATTTAATTAGGGTTTCAGGCCCACTCTTCACCCACTGTGTTTTCTTAAGCAACTAATTCACTACATGCCTTTCAATATCCAAACCTGTTAGCTTCACTCCTTGAGGATTGGTAAAATAACATTGCTCTTTATATTTTTATTTTTCATTAATTTATTCAAAAGCAACTTAGTAAATGCCCACTATATATAAGG